CCAATTATATTGTGTTTAGAATTATCTTTTTTTTTTTTGCATATAGTTATTTTGTGCAAAAAACAAAAATTTAGAAAATATGGACACAGAAATAAAGAGTTAACATTTTGGTTACTACTTTTAGGTCTTTTTTTGTTTTGTACAAATGTTATTTTGTATATACTTATCACACTATATATGTAATTTTGTATCCTGCTTAGAATTTTTTTTTAGTTATATTATGGTAAGCTTGGTTTTACAGTAACAATAAGCTCAGTGAAAGTATTTCATGTGGAAACCAAGTTTATCTATGTTATAAAAGCTGCAGTGGTTGCTAAGAGAAACTGATACTTTGTTCCCATAGGAACCTTTGTTTTAAAATGAGAAATATAGAATCTCTATATTCAAAGGATAAAAACTTCAGTTTGGCATGGAAAGTATTTCACCCTTCCTAGAAACATGTTACAATTACCATCCTGTGATTGAAAGGCATGGTCATGTGGTTGCAATCTCCTAAATGGGTGAAAATGTTCTAGGTGACTATTTGATTTCTCTTTCAGCTTCCCTTGTGTTGATGGTGGTGCATGGTGATCATGATAGGAGAGTAAGGGGAATAAAACCAACTGCTGGTCAGCTATGCCTAGAGCAGAGAAGTTATTAGGCAAGGCAAGCCTGCACCTTCCATTCGAGAATATCTCAGCTGGTAGTTAGGTTCCCTTATGGGAGAAGGGATTTCTATACCAAGCTGCTCTGTAGCATTTAGGTACCAGAATAGCTTTTCCATCCAGGCATTGGCTCTTAACTTTAAGTTAAAGATAATGATTTTGAGGGAGCGAAAAAAAATTTCTGTTAATTCTGCTCAGAAACCAAGATTCAGAATGAGGTAGAATTGGTAACGATTGTAGTCTGCAAACTCAGTGGCAAACTGCCTGGATGGTCACCATTCCCTGAACCCCACTTTCAGCAGCACTGTGACCAAAGGCATTGAAAAAACACTCATCTGTATTGCCACAGGCAGTAGGCTGACTGCCTTCCTTTCCCTGCCTGACTTCATTCCTCTACTGCTGTTCCCTGTGTCTCACAACGAACTACTTGCACTCCAATCATTGTCTCAGTGTCTGCTTCTGAGAGTACACAAACTGAAAACACATGCTGAAAAGCCCAAAGAAAAGTTATTAGAATAAAATGTACTGAACGGTACTTCCAAAAGAGAGGAAAATATCATTGCAGCAGATGCATACAAACACACAGTTGTTCACTTATTCAGTTAGTATTTCTGATGGATGCCACAGTGTGTACTCCCTTATTCCTCCTCCCCCAATAATGAAAGATGACCCCAGCTCTTGAGTGTGCTGCCAGAAGACAGCCCTCCCTGGTGGCACCATGTCAAGACTAGCTTTGGCTGAAGAAAGCTGATTCCCTTAAGGTCACACCTTCCTCCCAGGGTAGTTCCCATCCAATGACGGATCTAAGGGAGACTCTAAAGGCCCAGCCCTCTCAAATCATTCAGAGAGTTTGAAGGGTCATCCCGACTGCAGAACTGCCCTCCCGTTCAGGTAGGCATCCACTGAGACTGCACTGAGGCTTGGCTTCTCCCTCTGCCCAACCCCGCCCCTTTCCCTTCCTCAGGCATTCGGAGGAACGCTCCCTAAGAAACCTCCTGCACTTTAATCTCCATCTTAGCTTGTTTCCCTGGGAACCCAACCTGTGACACTACTGATGAACACCTACTGTTCTAGGTGGTGAGGAATACAGTGGAGAGCAGATAAGACTTCTGTCCTTACATTTTATTAGGAAGGAATTCACATTCTAGATCGGAGTCAGCAAATCGTTTTCTGTAAAGGGCTGGATAGTAAATATTTTAGGCTTCGTGGGCCATATGGTCTCATTCACAGCTACTCAACTCTGCCACTGTAGCATAAAAGT